AGATAATGATTCGGTATGTAATAGAATGTTGAGATTTTCAAGCTATTTCATTCAGGACGTTAATTATTAAATATTAAATTCATAAAAACTTAGTTCCTTACACAACTCACAAAACTCTTTGAAAAAACAAAACCAACTTCAAAGAAAGTGTATCTTACTATGAAAAGACGTACGATATTTGAAGTTTATTTATAAAAAAAATAATTAAACAACATTAAAGAATTATAATTATGAACTTCTTTTTTTCAAAATCTAAATGTCATTTTAGATACATGGGAATCACGAAATGCGAAAAAAGTAAGAGAAGCAGAAGAAAAAAGCAAAGCAGTGGATGATCAATCTTTGGAGAAGGATTTGAAGAAAGAAGATGTTGATGATAAAGAATATCCTTGTTTATTTAGAGCTGAGTGTGGAAAGATTAAGATCAGTACTTTGGTAAGGATTAATCATAATTATTTTTAGCATGATTCGAATTGCAATTTATTTATTCTCTTTTTCTAGGTTTCACCGTCTGATACAGACAAATTTTTTACGGGATATAGTAATATACTTAAAGTACATATGGATTCGATGAAAAAGAAAGAAAGGAAGAAAGAAAAATTAAAGGCAAAGAAAATAAAAAAGGTCAAAGCTACAACAGCCTAGTATTTCTTTAAACAGTTTTTAAGTTAATTTAGTTAATGTAAATTTAAATTTTAGTTCATTATTTGCAGAATAGTTTTATTTACATAATAAAGAAAAAAAATTAACGAGCTTTAGAGTTTCACTTTATTATAAAGGTCATCATACATTATACTTTTGGTAGATACGATCTCTTCTAGCTTCATCCAATTTTTTGGTATGTTCCCATAATTCTTTTGTCAATTCCGATGAGCCAAAACTCAAACCAACCAATCTAATAGAAAATGATTATTAAAAATTATAAGGTTTAATCATTATTATATAAGCTTTCTTAACATACCTTGATAAATTTAAAAGCAGCATTAAATCTTCTTGAGACATCAAAGGTATTCCATTTCTCGAGGCTTTCTGTCTTTGAGTTACGTAATCTGTTTGAATATACTATAAAGTTCGAATACAAATTATTAAAATTCTTGAATAAAATATAAAAAAAAAAGTAGTTTGAATCAACTAATAAAAACTTATAAAAACTTATTATACATCTGAAATATTTTCAGGGATATTAAAGTCGGTCCATCTAAGAATACTAATAAAGTTCCTGAATTGGTTTAAAGTATCTTCTGGTACATCTAGAATTGTTATATTCTCGGGTTTTTGAATAAGAGGAATATTACAATCATGCTGCATAAAAAGAATTGAAAATATTAGAAAATTGAAATAGTTTATAAATCCACGTTTAATATTGAAAAACACAAACATTAAGAAATGATTTAGCATTTGATAATGTAATGATTCCAATATCCGTATCAAATTCATAATTATTAAATGGGAAGGTATAGTTCAGTTTCTGATGGTCCAATATATCGTTCAAAGCTTTCAAGTTACGGATTCCTAATATATAAATGTATATTAGATTCTGAACGATCTTCAATGTAAATTAAAACTTTTAAAAACATACCAGTATCGCACAATTTTCCTTCTTTTAGCACTGTCTCGTCAATCAAAAACCATGTGCCTTGACTAACTTGTAAAACACCGGAATCCAGATCATTATTGCTACGTGGGAAATAAAATACCTCATTAAGTGTGGATAGAGTAAGCGGAAGGTCATGATATTTTGGTAAAAGTGAAGCAAGAACAGATGAGATTCGCTTTGCAAATAAATTATCGTGTTCGAGGCTTAAATCGTTATTCGAATTCCCATTTGCAACAATAGGAGCATTGCTGATATTTAATGCGAGTTTTCCGAGTGCGAGACCATTTTGTCGAAGATGTCTAGATCAAAATAAATTTTATATTAGATAAGTATTGTTAAATAAAGAAATTTACAAAATTGATCTTCCTTACATTCTAGACAAAAGTTGAAGCAAAACGAATTCTGCGACTAAATCATCACCGCCAAATGCTGCTGCAATGTACTGGATCATAGCATTTCTTACCCGCTTGGCATCGTTAGGATATACTTTTCATAAATTGACATGTAAGTACTCATAATTATCGATGTAAAAAATATTATATCATCACAACAAATAAAGCATGGAGTAAAAATACCAGATAAATTTGTAGTGGGTATTAGCGGATTTCCTGTTGGATGAAGCTTTCTATAAAATATCACATGCACGCTAGGAGTATAACAAGATGCAGTATTTTCATAAAGGACATTAAATTCTTCGCATTGCGATTCATTCGCATCGTTAGTCGCCTTTCTATAAAAGGATAAATTACTTTGTAACTCGTTAATAATGATGATAAAACATTAGCTTGAAATACCTCGGATAATTAAGTACTCCAATAAATTCAACAACATCTGTAACTTTAAATGAATCCTCTTTCTCATAAATCTATGATAGTCACAAATAAAAATTAAGTCTTATTGCATTGATAAATTGTTTCCGTTTTATTTTAAGTCTCGTTTAATTAGTTGCGATATAATTATATTTTGTCTTCACCTTAACCACAGCCGCCATATGTTTTTCTTTCGGAAATGGGTATTTCGATGTGAATTCTTTCAATTCATTATTAACCTTTTCATCATTCAAATTAATATTCGCAGTTGAACTTACGATATCTGTAAACAATATATATATATATATAAATATCTATGTATAAATTTATTATACAGGAACTATTCAAATTATTTTGATGTAAACCTTCAATATCTGTTACAGATTTTAATCGAGACTGCCTATAAATGTATTATTACTAAGGTCAAAGAAAATTTAATTCAATTATATAAACGATTATATAATTTTAAATGCTTTAAGGATATTTGCTTTGCCCATGACGTCTCTCCGGGAACAGAGGTGCAATAAAATAATTGCCTCTCGCTAAATTCATTAGTAGGAGAATTTAGACTTTCTAATACATCATTTAAATTCTCATCCTGTAAAAATTATTAATTTAATGTTTATTTTTTTTTCCTTTGTAGTTCCAAACAGGTATTATTATATAATCATGCTACCTTAAGGATAATTTCATCTGAATATTTATGAAATTTCCTTTGCTAATTGTAAAAAATTATGAAGAAACTAATTAATAAATTATAATCTGTTTAGAATGAAACGCATAATACCTTTATTCAAATATATAAAGATCAACCTTTATGCCATCATTATTGACCATTTCATAAGAACTAACAAAAACTTCGTGACCAAATCCAGTATTTTGAATCATGGCACGAAAGCGTACAAGTGTATATTGCGGAATATCATACACACAAGAAACATCATTCAATGAAGGTATCTTTATTGAAATATTGATTATTTTTTATACAATAATTAAGCAAATAATTTTAGTAACCAGTATGTTTTTGTTCAAACCTGATTGACATTTCCTCCAAGTTCGAAAATAGTTTTATAATATTCTGGAATAGTTGCCTGTCCTAAAGCCAACTGATCACTTGAATTTGACTCAAGTTATTATGTAATATAACAAATTAAATATTAGTTTATTTTAGAATCATGATTTTTTGATACTTTTTCCGAAACAAATCAACTTTAATACCAAGTAAATATCTAACGACATCAAGAGGTTTTTTGATGCATTCAGAACTTGAAAATATAGGAATCATTTTTGGTTTTAATTAAACTCAAGCCAAAGCTTGAAACAATCATTTTTATACGCGAATATAATTCATCTTACTCGTGTATGATTACTAATTTTGGCAATCACTTTGGATCTTATATTAACAAAAATTTACACGCAGAACACATTTTTGGTCTCAAATGGTAAATTTTACTAATGCTACTAATTAAAGAAAAATGTTTTAGGCAATTCCTTTAATGAAAATGATATGAAAGTAATTTTTTCAAGAAAATTACTTCTAAAGTAATTTTTTTAATAAAAAAAAAAAAAATTTTAATACTATTAGAAATGAAAAAAGAATAATATAATCAGTATTAAATGATAAATCAGATATTATTATTTTACATTTATTGAAAAAAATTATTATTATAATAAAATTATTTATTGATATATTATTAAAAATAATAAAAAAATTTAAATAAAATTTAAATATAATTAAAATTAATAAATATAATATATCATTTATTAATTTTATTAATTTGAAAATATAAAGAATTTATAAAATATTTTAATAATACTGTATTATAAGTTATATTTTTTGATATGGATTTTATTTTATAATATATATATAATAGATATATTTTCTTATGTTTAAAATCAAAAAATGTATCTAAAACTTAACACTGCAATATAGTATTTTTTAAAAGTAATATATTACCTATTTTAGTTATAATTTAATATTAGAAATATGATTTTATATTTACCGTATACTTCCGAAAATAAGCACGCCCGAAAATAAGCACCCTCACATTTATATATATGCTAAAAATAAGCACCCCCGAAAATTGTAACACATTTTATTATA